TGTTGGGATCCTGTGGCTTGGTTAGAGAAGGTGAAATATCGAGGCGGGAGGAAATCATATGCATGTAGACAGACAATCTCCATCTGTGAGTCACTGTCCTCTAAACAGTACCTCACCCCGCCTCACCATTGCCTAAAGGAGACTTCCTTTGAGTAGGAAAACTTCCTTCCTCCATCCAGTGCAGTCTGGTGGGAACACCCAAGTCACACTGCATGCTTTCTCAGGCATTCAATCTCTTTGTGACTGTGAGACGCACAGGGGAGAAGAGGAACAAGCTGAGATATTTGTAGTAGAAACCAACTGCTCACTTTGGCTTGAATGCAAGGAGTCTAAATCCATGAGGCTGAAAACACCTGTGTCCGCTGGATGTGGTCTGAATGAAACGGACAGCCCAGAACAGGGCGTGGTGAGCTCATCGTTAATGTTTCTTTTCCCTCAGCAGGTTTTTTCTGACTTTATCATTCTGGACTAACATCAAAGCTTCCCTTGGAGTCCAGATTGATATTTTGAACAGGATGGATTACTTTTGATCTTCCCTGCATTTCAGGATACTTGCAACAATGAAGAACTGGGGGCAAAGCGTCCTGCCTGAACATTTTCCCACAAAGCTTTTTTGACTTTCTTAACTCGACAATCTCTTATTGTGAAGAAGCCAAGAGAAACATTTGCTTTGAGATATTCCTCCCCACTGATTGTCACAGAGTTTAAGTTGGAGTGGGGAGGACCAGAGGCAGGTTCAGACCAAACACACAAGTCCAGGCAGCTCCTGACAATCAACAAGGAAGAACCAGGCCACACCTGAAGAGGCAGGACAGATTGTGTGGACGGAGACAAGAGAAGAACCTGGTGAGATGTGAACCAGCAGGTAAAACCGGGGACTGAGGTGGGATCCAAATCAGGCAAGTCAAAGGAGGGGAAGCTCAGAAGGAATCTAACAGCATGAGAAACTGATTGAGGGACTCTCCTTTTCCAAAACATTGCTCTAACAACTGGAATTTGAGCGGTAGCTTTTGATTGGTTACTGTTTGGTTCCAGGCTTCAGTGCTTGTCTGGGCAGGCCTCTCATGTGGGGTGGAGAAATGGAATTTTGCCCAGTGCATGAAATGCACTGAAAGGGTTAGGAATTTCTTCCCGGCAGATTTATGCTAATTGCCACTGTCACGAGAGCCCTCGGTGCATTCAGCTGATATTCTGTAGGTGAAGGATGTCCTGTCTGATTTACAAGCCACTTCAGTATAAACCTTAGATTGTCTGGGATTCTCCCAATGGGGTTAAGGGCAATGAAACTGTGATTCAGGTACCATCTAAGCTACTGGGCTGCCCTGAGGCCTTGGGATTTTTTACAAGCTTCCATATTCACTGTATCTAAACTATTAGGAACAACGAGACTGCGCCTACTATAGGTGGAAAATACAATCAATAACAATCTTCTCTTTGGCAGCACTAAATAAAGTGTAGTGCATCTGTTGATTAGAGCACAGTTCTTCAAACACTGCTGTGAGGCAACAATTGCAACCACAACAGTATAATAAATACAAAAACCTTCCCATAATATTTTCCCCCAAAGTCGGGAAAGAAGTGACATTTTGGAAGTCCAAGTCCTTTAGTGGATACCCATAGTTTTGCACTGATCCACTAAATCAGTGTATTTAACCTTTTTTTTTTTTTGTCCTTGGCCCCCTTCCAATCTTGTTTTGCTAGGATCTGCTAGGGACACTATCTAATTCCCATTACCAATAAAAAAAAAGATTGCCATTTACAAATTATAAATATGTTTTTATTTATAATAAATACAGTATTTACTGTATAATACACTTTGTCTTTGTGTGGTCCCTTTGGCACATGCTTACATGCTTTCCCTGTGATCCTCTTGAAATTTTCTAGGACCCTGAGAAATCATATGGCCCCCTGAGCACGTTGTGAACTGCTGAATGAAGTGATATATTTGTTTTGGTGGTGTAGGCTGGCCTTTGATTTCATAATGCATCATCATACTTTTCATCATATCAGGAGAAGTATGCTTTTATTTTTTGTTTAATTTGTTAAGTATATCCTGTCCAACATACCTTTCTCTTCCTATTTTCCCCACCATAACAATCCTGTGAGGTGGGTTAGTCTGAGAGAGAGTGACTGCCCAACATCATGTTCCTGAGTACCAAATCTTCTTGTACTCAGGCATAGTCTCTCTGCACTGTGTATTGCTTTATTCTGAGTAACCAATTTTATTCTGTTAAATCTGAATTTGCACTACAGTTGGCCTAATATATAATTCATATCACAGCCTTCCAGGGGAATTTCCTTGTACATGTGCAGATATTTTTTCCTCTTGACTGAATAAGGGAGTTATCCAGACATGTAATAAATTGCTTGCGGTTTCCTAGGAAATATGGGGTCCATGCACATAAATGGGAATATATTAATGTGGAGGACGAAGACCATCTCTATTCCAGATAAATGATTCCAGGATAGATAGCAGCTTGAATTTTTCAGTACAAACGTTGTGAGCCATCCAGTTGGGAAAGAAAACCATTTCTCTCAAGAGGTTCTCAATTGAATAAATTCCTTGTGTACAACAATGCATACCTGGTTCTATCCATTGTATGTGCAGTGTACTTGTCCAAAAGCCAGATTTATAAGGAAAGTTCTACAAGAAGTTCTGTATGTATACAACTGTACATTTTCTGTAACTTTTAAGCCTGAGTATGTTTAGTAATATATTTTTACACTAGCAACAATGGTCTTTTTTTAATTTCCCCATTTGAAGACATGTGTTTTCTGTCTCTATATTAGAGTAGCCAAATTTAGTTCATTGTTTCATGAAACAAAGCAATACAAGGAAAGTGGTGTCTGACATCAGTAGCCTTCCTCTATGGGGAAGTGGTAAATTTTTCTAAGAGAGTGATATTATGCATTAAGTTGAAAGACATTCAGAGATTTGTAACCTAAATACAATAGCACAATTTTAGTACATTTTTGTTCAAAATATTTATTTCAACATTTCCAATAAGTATTTGGGGGTAATGTTTTGGGTATTATATTCTTTCAATTTTATTTCTCCTGAATGAAAAAGAATCTTTATTCAATCATGACTATAAAGCACCTTAAATACCTAAATGTGATACCGATTAGCCAATTAGATAAACAAATCAATCAAACTGCTACACATCTTACATGTGACTTGACAAAATTAGGGCATTCTTAAGGAAATAAAATAATTTCAATTTGAAAATAAAAGTTTAAATAAAATGATCAGAGTGATCAGGATATTTAATTAGGTATTGGTTTAATAGCTCATGATGATTGTCAATAAAAGATAAAATATAATAAAATATTTAGTGTTTTACTATATAAATCTTTGGCTTCTTTGATACATAGCTATAATTGAGCATATTTAGTACTATGGATGTGACAAGAAAAACTATATGGTAACTGTAAATTGTATTGTTAAAACTGCCGAGTAATATGCAATCCTAAACTCTATTTTGAAAAGAAATAGAAAAACTAAAGATGTTATCTTGCTTGTAAACTTCCAGCAGGATCTATTCAGTCAGAGTTTAAAACACATTTCTGTTGTTCTTATCTAGTGTGCAAAACCATGGAGAAAGACCCAGTCCCACTAACGTTAGAAATCTCTGTTCTAGTTGGTGGTGAAAGAGTTTCCAAAAGAAATTAATTTTAAACACATTATTTTCCACATGGGAAGATAATCTATATGGAAGGAATTGCTCATTGACATTTTTACCATTAAAATTTATATTTTATTGTAAAGATTGTGTTGATTAATTTTTTGCAAGCCAGTTAGAAATCTGAAAGGCTGCTCCAAAACAGCTTAAATAATGAATGAATTGCAAGGGAAAGAAAGGTTTTTTCTAAACATAATGTAGTTTGGTAAAACAAAGTACAAGCCGAAGAACAAGCCAAGCAGGAAGGGAAAAGTCTGAAATGCTAGGAAAGGAAAACAGATTTGATTATTTTCACTTATATTAAAAGGAAAAACAAAACAGAATTTCAGAGCAAACCAGAACTATTTTGATGTGAGGACAAAATGGTATCACTAGCCCCCTTACTTATTTACCCATGAGGAAGTCAACAACAAAAGGAGAAAAGAGCAGTCTGTGAAGCAGTCAGATATTTCTTCTATAGTATTTCCTTACAATGCTCCCCTCCATCCCTGCCACAGTCCCATGCAGCCCCTGCTTCCTGAGAGAACCATCTCAGCCTGTATTGTCTACCTGTAGACATTACAACAATGTTGGAAATGGTTTGAATCTTGTCCTGAAGACACAAATGTGTCAGAACTATTTGCATCATCCTTTGCAGTATTTTGCAGAGATAATCCTATGCATCTGCAGACAAAAACATTTTCTTGATTAAGACGCAGGAGAATAAAGCAACCCCAGCAGAAAAAAATGATAGCATTGTAAGATCACATTGAGAGAGGAGTTGGGGAGAGGGAGAGAGGGAGAAAGAGTCTGCACAGAAGAAGAACACAAAATTAGTTGTGGAGCATTAGTTTTGGAGCATAATGTGGTATAGCATGTTTTACAGAACAATAACAAACAGCTGATTACAGAATATTTGCAATTGCAATTATATTATGCCAATTCAATTATAATGCTCTTTCAGACTTACCAATTACTAGGGTTGGCATGGGGAGACATCACCAAGATGTGGTTTAGAAGCTACCCTCAACCTGATCCTTTACAAATGTGTAGTCATCCTATATTATAGCATGGTTTAAAGCGGAACATTAACTATCCCACTATACACTTTCAGTAGCTTGCAACTGAAAGATAGAACAAATTACCAATGGAAGTGGTAGAAGAACATTATATCATCTTGTCAAGGATGAGAAGAATAATGATGCAAAAATAAGTACATGTGCATCATTTATTTGGACAGCAGAATTTTGTCATAAAACAGCTCTATCCTTCCTCCTCAAATTAAGTATGCACAGGCCTGTGTAAAGTCATGCTTGACAAACTTTTTTTTTCTTTCAGAGGCACACAAATAGCTCACTCTGTGATACTAAAGATGGAGTCACCAAGCAGAGAGGAGGAAACATATGTGCTGGTGGAATATGCCTTTGAATATACCTCCAAGGATGGCCAACTCATCGCAATCAAACCCAATGAGAGATACATACTTTTAAGGCGAACCAACGACCACTGGTGGCATGTTAGGAAGAGCAAAAACTCTAGGCCTTTTTACATCCCAGCTAAGTATGTTAGAGAGTTGAGCACTTTCATGCCTTCTGAGAGGCCATGTCACACAACACAGCTAGAGGCTATCAATTTAGGGACCTCTGTTGGAGTTGGCAGTGATCAATTGCCAGAGTATGAATATCGATTTGTGACAGCAGTTCAAGAATGCAAAACAGATACCTCACAGCAGGATTCCAGCTCCTTAGGGGTGGGAACAATGATGTCTCTGGAAGATAATGGGAAGAATCTACCCACTTCTGGAGCAGCAAAAGGCACACAGCCCTCTCTCAGTGCCTCATACAGTTCTTTTAAGCCACTTTACCTGACAGACTCTAATCATCCTCTGGCCTGTCAAGGTGGTTCTGCTGAGCACATGAGGCCTGCTGTATCTCTGAATGACTTGCCAAGATTCACACTTCCCACCCAGACAGGTTTGGGGAACTCAGGATTGTACAAAGCTGCTTCGTGGGCTCATCCTCACCCATTTCTGAAGAACAGTACTGAAAACATCTGTAAATTGGTGAAAGACCAAGTGATACAAAACATGCAGGAATGCTGCGCCAAAGAGGTACTTTGAGAATTTCTTATCAAAGGTCTGGATTTCCTATGTCTCAGATGTGTTGGCCTATATATTCCCTTATTCCATTTTAATGAAATATTAATACAGGGGCTATGGGAATTATAATCCAGTAGATTCTGGAAGATATTAATGAGGGAAGGCTTTTATATTTACCTCCAGAACTCACTGGACTGCAATTTCCATAATTCCTGACAATGTGGTGTTATGGGAATTTTAGATTAATTAGATCTGACCATGTAACATTGAAGAAGGCTCCTTTCAAATTAAGATACAACTTGTCAGGCAGAAGAAACAAAGACTTTCCCTCATAAACCTATTGCATTAGGACCAATACTGAAAGTATCTCAAGTATCTATTTATCTAACCAAGAAGTTGGTTCTCATAGTTAATAGTCTTGAGAGCATGATTTGAACAACTTTCAATTCCCATTTTCTATGCAGTGATAAGCAAATGAAGAGTAAATGGGAGAGATGTCTCAGTTCTGCACAGTGTAAGAGAGAAGTGAGCAAGACAGCTGAGGTTCATATAATACATGATGTGTAACTTCAAATGAAACTCCTACCGGCTTTAGTTTCATTGCTTTGCTTCCAGCCCTTGGCATTTTGATTTATAATTTAGCCTGGGTTACAGATACCTTGACTAACATATTCCTGCTGATCAAACTGCAGTCTGAAGATACATGAACTAATCATATTGTTGCTCTAATTAGCCACCAATCCTTATTAAGCTATAAGGACTAGCTATTTAAATTAATCTAAAGCTACACTAGTTTGTGTTTTGATTCTTCTTGACTTAATATATTAGTGCTTACTATTAGTGTTTACTATTATGCATGGCTCAATCTCCTTAGTTCAATATAGCCCATAGTTTAAAAATGCCAGCTTACCATCGGAACCTCACTGTAGCATTGGCGAAAATATGTGGACATCCATACTACGATACATCCTTGTGCTGTCATGACACATGTAAAAAAAAGATTGAGCTTGCATCATGACACTTGTGATGTCAATTTGACACATACTTATCCCCAGGTGACAGGGGTTTTAATAGACTGAGAGTGCGACTTCTATAAATCTTTTGAGCTGCAATGCTCCTGATTTGTCAACTTTACCAAGCCGATATAAGAAGCATGACTAGATGAACTAATAATGTTTTAGTGTAAGATTACATTAAGAGACTCTTGCAAGCCTGGAGGTGCAAACTTTCTTCTACCACTTTTAACTACTTGATCCATGGGATCATGTCCTTCCTAATTTTTTTTCTCTGACCACTAAGATCCTGTGACTTCTGCCTCTTTTATCTAATTGTTTCCTAGGAGCATCTCTTCCTTCATTCCCCATGGTCATCTATATATTCCATTACATGATTCAATCCCAGAAAGGTATTTCAGAATAACCCAGTTTATTCTTTAAAGCAGGGGTAGTCAACCTTTTTATACCTACCACCCACTTCTGTATCTCTGTTAGTAGTAAAATTTTCTAACTGCCCACCAGTTCCACAGTAATAGTGATTTATAAAGTAGGGAAGTAACTTTACTTTATAAAATTTATAAAGCAGAGTAACAGCAAACCTCTACCGCCCACCATGAAAGCTGAAACGCCCACTAGTGGGCGGTAGGGACCAGGTTGACTACCACTGCTTTAAAGCATCTACCTCTTTTTTTAACTATTGCCATGCAATTCAAAGAATTAGCATGGCTGTCAGACAGGTGCAACAATTGTGTCTTGACAAAATCCTGAACACCTTGCAAAGCACTTCATATCCCTCTTTGATACTAGCAACCTTCCATAGGTCTTGCATGGGGAACCACAAGGTAATACTCCAGCTGTATACTAGACAAGGAAATTATAAAAATCCTATGGGAAAGTGATGGCAAATTCCTTCTGTTATTATTCCCACAATGCATAAGCTCAACTGAATTAAGCTCAATTTGAGGGAACCTTTACAGTATCTTTTCATCCCACCACACAAGATAATAATATTCATCCACTCATATAGTAGATCAGCGATTCCTAAACTTTCCAGCTTGGCAACCTAGCAGGAGAGTGGGGAAGAGGGAATAATTCTATGTGAGTGGCAGGCGCATGCATGAGCATGCACAGCTCCACTTGCACAAGCAGCATATGCACATGCCTGCCACTTGCACAAATGGAGCTTCATACATGACCAAATGGACCTGCGTGTACATGCTCATCCACCGCTTGTATGAGTGGAGCTGCTCACACAAGCTCACTTGCCACTTGCAGGGCCTGTTGCAATGCTCCATTCCAAACAGGCTGCGGCCTAGTGGGCCATGGCCCAGGGGTTGGGAACTCCTCACGTAGATTTTAAAAATGATTGAAATAAGAAGAATAGAGAAGAGAAGAGACTTTGGAGGTCTTCTAGTCCAATCTCCTGCTCAGGCAGAGGACCCTATACCATTTCAGACAAATGCTTGTCCAATCTCTTAAAACTTCCAGTGTTGGAACGTTCACAACTTCTGGAGACAAGTTGTTTCACTGATTAATTGTTCTGTCAGGAAATTTCTCCTCAGTTCTAAGTTGCTTCTCTTCTTCATTAGTTTCCATCCATTGCTTCTTGTTCTGCCCTCAGGTGCTTTGGAAAATAGATTGACCCCTCTTCTTTGTGGCAGCCCCTGAGATATTGGAACACTGCAATCATGTCAGCCAGGTCCTCCTATTCATCAGACTAGACATACCCAATTCCAGCAACTGTTCTTTATATGTTTTAGCCTCCAGCCCCTAATCATCTTTGTTGCTCTTCTCTGCACTCATTCTAGAGTCCCAACATTTTTTGCATCGTGGCGACCAAACCTGAATGCAGTATTCCAAGTGTGGCCTTATCAAGGCATGATAAAGTGGTATTAACATTTCACGTGATCTTGATTCTATCCCTCTGTTTATGCAGCCTGGAATTCTGTTGGCTTTTTTGGCAACTGCAACACACTGCTCATATTTACCGTATTGTTTGGAGTATAAGATGCACTCCCACCCACCCCCCAAAAAAGTGAGTGGAAATGTCTGTGTGTTTTACACAGGAATATTATGGCGGGGCGGAGGGGGGTTGGTATGAATACCAGATGGATGGTGGGAAGCAGGCAGATTTTTTTTTCTTCTTTTCCTCTCCAAAACCTAGGTGCATGTTATAGTCCAGAGCATCTTATAGTCCGAAAAATATGATAAGTGATTGTCCATTAGGACTCCCAGATCCCTCTCACAGTTACTACTATTGAGCCAGGTACCACCTACACTATGCCTGCGCATTTGGTTTTTCTTGCCTAAATTAGAACCTTACTTTATTTCATCATTGAATTTCATTTGGTAAGATAGAGCCCAATGTTCAAGTCTGCCAAGATCCCTTCGTAGTTTAAGCCTATTTGTGGCTATTTCTGCAAGCTTGGTGTCATCTGCATATTTGATGACTTTCCCATCTATTCCTTCATCCAAATCATTGATGAAGATGTTGAAGAGTTAAAACAGAGTCCTGGGGTGCCCCACTGCATTCTTCTCTCTATGTATATGCTGTTCCATTGAAAACTACACGTTGAGTGGAGTTGGTCAGCCAGTTGCAAATCCATCTGGTAATGATGTTGGCTAGCCCACATTTTTCTATCTTGTCAAGTAGTAGGTTGTGGCCCACTTTATTAAATGCCTAACTGAAGTCAAAGTAAATTATATCCCAGCATTCCTCTGGACCACTTATTTTTTCAGATTCATCTGGCATGATCTGTTTTTGACAAACCTATTGGCTTTTGGTGATGACTTTGTTTGCTTCTCAGTGATGGCGAACCTTTTCAGCACTAAGTGCCCAAACTGGAATGTGTGTGGGGGTGCAACGGAGCCCAGGAAACTCAAACACCAGCTGGCAGGTGTGTATATGTGCACTGGCCACCTGGTCTTCGGGTTTCTGGAGCTCCAGCATATGGGGTCAGGCCGCAGGCAGCTCCTGCAGCTTGTCTCTTTGTGGTTCCACCTACCCACCCTGCATCAAAGTACCTTAAATGGACATACAACGATGGCTGCCTTCCAAGCAGCTCTGCTGTGAATAGGAGCAGAAAAGTTCATTCAAGTCTTCTCCTTGTTGGGCATACACAGAACAAACACGCACACATCACACACCGCCAGGACCTTCTCTGAGGAGACAGCACATGGGCCAGTCCCTCCAGCACCATGAGATGTGTGCGCGTTTTCTCTGTGTGTGTGCATGAGAAGGAGAAGACTTGGCTGAAGTCTTCTCTTCTGAAATCGAAGGCAGCCACCATAGTCTGTCTTTTTAGCATATTTTGACATGGGGGTGGTGGGGGACCATAAAGAGACAGGCTGCAGGAGCTGCCTTCCAAACAGCTTCGCTGTGAAGGGAGGCAGAAAAGTTCACTGGAGGGACTCATCCATGCGCTGTCTTCTCACAGAAGGTCCCGGTGCAGTGAGATATGTGCATGTTTGCTCTGTGCGTATGTTTGAGGCCGAGAAGGAGATGACGACTTGGCCAAACTTTTCTACCTCCCTTTGCAGCGAAGCTGCTCAGAAGGTAACCACCACAGTCTGTCCCTTTAAGGTACTTCGATGCTGCCCATCATCTGGCCTGTGCAAAGGCAGTTGTCATGCTGATGAGTAGCCGAGTATGCCTTTTGCTTCTTCCTCTCCCCATCCAGATTCAGCATGGTGCAAACACCCCAATGGAGGCAGAAAACAGGGCATTTCCATTGGCCCTTCTCTGGGCCTCAGGGACCGCTGGGAAGGCAGGCAAATGTGCTGGGACTACGGGGCAAGCAGTGGGGAAGACAGACAAGTTGGGGATAGTGGGGAAGGCAGCAGAGAAGACAGGCAAGCATGGCAGGGCCACAGGGATCCCTGGGAAGGCCTCATGGAAAGCAGGCAAGCATGTGGGGCCATGTGCCACGTAGAAAAAAATAGAGAAGGCAGGCAGGGATGGTGGGGGGAAAGCTAGCTAAGCTGCAACTCGCAGTCTTACGCACCCAGGCAGGAGATCAGGGCTGCTCAGTTGGGCCACAGTCACCACGTGGGAAGGCAGGCAAGCCGCAGAGACTGTGTGGTCAATACAAGTGAGGAACCACACAATGTGCTATGCCATGGAGGCGAGGTGACTGGGCAGGGCGAGGCAGGCAGAATGAGTGGACAGGGCGAGCCAGTGAGCGGGCAGGCAGAGGCAGAGCCAGCCAGAGATGGAATTTGCCAGTTCTCCAAACTCCTCAAAAGAACCGGCTGAATACCACCTCTGAGTAGAATGATCCATATTTTGATCCAGATGAACCATGTGGCTTCATTTTAGATCATATCCCAGAAAGGTAGCCGACATACAGTACAGTATTTCTTTTCTATAGGGAAGCATGTTGAATTGCCACAAACAATATTAGAAAAATATTACTTAAACAGCAACCTGGCTCCTTCCAAATATGTTATAACTAAAATTCCCATGCAGCAGAGCAACAGTTCTAGAAAACATGTCTAGTACAAATGTAAACAAATGTAGAATATTACTGTAGTTCCTACTGATTAACCCCAGCAGGGGGTACTATTTCCCTATGCTTGGTCTCTTATTGAGGCAGAAGAAGTGATAAGAGCAGCTTAAAAAAAAAAAAAAACCACACACATTTTCTAATGTTCCCCTACATAAACACATCAGTTCTCTACAAACAGAAATAGAACAAAATAGAACGCTCATTGGAAAAAAAGGGCTATCACTGTCAACTTCCTATTTACAAGTTTAGCATTTGGAGTGAGTTTTAGATTTAGACTAGACAATCCATGACCATCTGGGTCATTGTTTCAGGGATACTTCCTTACCAGATTCCTCAGTGACTTCAACAATGAAGCTGAAGAGCTCTAACATGATGCCTTCACCACAAAAAAAAAAATTAAATTTCAAGGAAATATTCAGATATGTATCTTCCTAGAATGTAGCCCTCGTTGAACTGTATGCTTCAGTCAAACATAAGTACGATAGTTGTCCACAGGAAATCACATGTTGTACCATGTCATAAAATGATTTATGATAATTTTATATCTTAAAATGTTTTATAGAATTCCAAATTTCAATTCCATGGAAGCCATGGTCTTCAATTTTGGATGCATTCTGTCATTTAGGCTATTTGAAGTACCTTGGTTCAAAAATCCTACAATGCACTCTTGTGCCCAGTTAAATTACAGATACAAGAGTTTTAGTAATGTATAGATAACTGTTTTCCCTCAGTGATTTTTGTTCTTCCTGTTTCCATAAAGATATGAGAGAATTTCTCCTACTTTATTTATTAAATTTATAAACACTCCAGTCTACATAATTCTTTGTGGCTTAGGGAATGCAATCATTAAAACAGAAAAAAAGCAGAATATATAATTCAAAAGGGAAGGGAAACTCTCAATTAAACAACAATAGATCCCACAACAACAGGAGCTATTTCCCATTCTAACCCAGGGCCTGGAGCAGAGGCAGGTTTAAGGACTTGTATAAACAGAGGGGAGGGGGGTTGTACAAATTTTGGCTCAGGTTATGTTTCATGATGGAGAAGGCCCACTTCCTGGATATTGCCAGATGGCACTGTTTAATCAGTGGGACTCAAATCATAGCAGTTATGTTAGACATGCAAAACAATAAAGGAGATCCGTGGTCCTTCCCTTAACAGGTCCTATGCCATAAAGGGCTTTTTAGTACGTTGAATTGCCCCTAGTAGTTTACTGGTAACTAGTGCAGCTCACAGAGTAGAGGTTAGCATGGGCACATCATGGATTGCCCATCACTGCTCATTCCACTACACTCTAGACCAGTATAATATCCAAGTGATCTTCAAAAGTAGTTGTATGTGAAATATATTGTGGTAATTTAATTGCAAGATGACCAAAGCATAAGTGACTCCAGGGCTAGATATGAGATAAATGGCTCATGCAAAGGCGTTCTTGGCCAGAGTTGTCACTTGCTGCTTTCTACTTTTGAATTTAATCAAGGACTTAAGGTAGCACCCAAAAAAAAAGAGCACCATCAGATTGAGCACCACCAGCAGAGCTCTAATTTGATATTCTAGTATATAATTAAGGAAGCCAAAGTTCATCTGATTTGAACTTGGCTACCTGAAATCCTCCTTTGAACTCTGGAAAAGAAGAGAGAGCATTAAAATTCTGAACATTCATATATTACCTCTTGCACTGGGTAAGCCCAGATAAACCACACATTGAATGTGTTAAAATTTAAGAGGGGATTTCTCAGTGCCAGCAGTTCTGAGGTTTCTAGAGTATTTTTCCTCCAAATAAAAACAAAAGTCAAAAATCTTCAGGCAGATTTAGAACCTGTGTGTGTGTGTGTGTGTGTGTGTGTGTGTGTGTATACACATATACTTCATTCATTCATTCAATTTCTAGAAAAAATCTTGCATTATGCACAACAATGTGTTAAGCAGAAATTTAGTAGAAAACATGTCTTCTACTAAGGAAATGCTTATGGTGAATGAAGATGATATGCACTTTTCTTTTTCTCACTGCTGCCTGTCATATGGCTTTTCAAACTGCTCAGGAGTCCTGCCAGAAACAAATCACATGCCCTTTGGAAGGCGGGTGCATTCCAGGGTCTTTAGTCATTCCCTTATTAAGGTGCACTGCTTCCAGGTTAATCTACTTACCTTTACTATAAATAGAAAGGTAGAGAAGACCACACCCTGAAAGGGCAATAGCCAGGGCTGAAATAACTAGCAGCAACTGATAATGCCAAATTACCTTCTCTTAAGTTAGAACTATACTTGTAAAAGTAACTCTGGATACAAAAGGTCACAAAACTGCATGGGAGAAATAGAAGTTGTATTCCTTATGTAGATCAATATTTGAGTTGAGAGAATGTGTATTTATTTACCTTGTTTCTTTCAACTTCTACCTGGACCTAACCCAAACATTTCATTTAATTTATTTGTATATTAAATGTATATGTCCTCAACCGCAGTTTGCAAAAGTTCTGGGTAGATTTTTAAATA